GGCCTTCCATGCCCTTCCGAAACTCAAATTGATGCAAAAATGCTCCGAAATTATATGTTCAATAATTATATAAACCCGTTAATATATGTTCAATTACTCAATATAGTCCATTTTATAACAATTCCTAACCCCGAACGAAAAGTTGACAAAATTGCCCTCGAGCCCACGTGCCCGGATTTCCAAAATTTTCGAAGAATAAGTTTACCCATAGCTTCACGAATTCAAATATATAATTTTCTCTAAATTTCATACCCAAAATCATGGTCAAAATCCAAGAATACTAATTTTCTAGGTTTTCCCTCAAACCCTCAATTTTTCTACAAATTTCATGCTCAAATCCATACATGATTGATGTATTTAACTCAAAATAGGTGGGATTAGCTTACGTTATCGTTGATGATGAAAATCCTCTCTTGAAACCTCCAAGAATCGCCCCCAAGCCAAGAAAATGTAATAGGAATGGCCAAAACCCGACTTTAAAACAACATTCTGCCTCCAGCTCTTTCCGCACCTGCGGCTTCCAAACTGCTTCTGCGGTTCCACAAGTGCGGTTCCAATACCGCATCTGTGGTCCTCACCAGGCTGCCCCTCTTCCGCTTCTGCGACTTCTCCACCGCAGGTGTGGTCCTGCATCTGCGGAAATATGATCGCATCTGCGGTCCCTTCTCTTCTAGCGCAAAACTGCATCTGCGGTTGACCCCAGATGCGGTTATGACAGCAACCAGCAACCTCAGCCTTCCAAAAATCCCATTTTCGATCCGCTAACCATCCGGAATCCACCCGAGGCTCTCGGGACCCCAACCAATCATACCAACCACTCCGCAAACACATTATGGACTTGCTCGAGGCCTCAAATCATATCAAACAACGCTAAAACCACGAATCGACCTCCAATCCAAGCTTAAGATTTTTAGAATTTCAAACTTCTACTTTCGATGTTTAAACCTATCTAATCAGGTCCGATTGACCTCAAATTTTGCAGACAAGTCATATTCGTCATTACGGACCTATTCCAACTTCCGGAATCGGATTCCGACCCCGATATCGAAAAGTTCATTTCCGGTCAAACTTCTCAAAAACCTTCAAATTTCTATCTTTAGCCGAATGACTCCAAAATGACCTACGGACCTCCGAATTCACTTTCGATCACGCTCCCTACTCCAGAATCACCATACGGAGCTATTCACAGACTCGGAATCCCCAACAGACATCGATAACACTGAAATGCACTTCAAGCCAAACTTATAAAATTTCTTCAAAAATGCTAACTTCCACAATAGGCGCCAAAACGCTCCCGGGTTATCCAAAACCCAAACCGGGCATACGGCCAAGTCTGAAATCATCATACGAACCTGCTGGAACCTTCAGATCCTGATTCTAAGTTCTTTTACTCAAAAATCCAATCCTAGTTAATTCTTTCAACTTTAAGCTTCCAAAATGAGAATTCTCTCCCCAAATCAACTCCGAACTTCCCGAAATTCAATTCCGACCACGCGTACAAGTCATAACACCTGAAATGAAGCTGCTCATGACCTCAGACTGCTGAACGACGCGCTAGGGCCCAAAACGACCGGTTGGGTCGTTACATTTTGATCACGGTTACAACAATCCCTAAGTTCCCAATTTGGATTTATCTTTTTTTTCTTCTGCCATCCCCAATTGCTTAAACCCTACAAAGCTTCATCCTTTTCTGCTCCGAAAAACAAACTAAACCTCAATTCAAAATTAGTTAGGATCGGCTATTCAAGATTTTTGCTTCCACCAAACAGTTGAAAAATTCAGCTTTTCAATCAAAGACTTTTTCATTTTATTCACTGTATTAACAGTGTTTATATATGATCATTTCAATTATTCAGTCGATGTATTCAGTTCTTGTGCATCTGAATTCATCTGTAATCAACAGGTTGTGTTTGTATGGTTACATCAGGTTGTATTCATATGTATTCAAAAAGTTGTATTCATATGTATTCAACATATTGTATTAATTTGTATTCAACATCTTGCATTCATATGGATTCAACAGATTGCATTAATATTAATTTAACAGATTGTATTCATCTGTATTTCAACAGATTGTATTTATCTATATTCATTAGGTTGTATTTATCTGCATTCACCAGGTTATATTCACATATTTTCCACAGGTTTTATTCATATGTATTTTACAGGTTGTCTTCATATATATTTAGATGTATTTACATATATTAGGAGTCTATGAGACCTTTATACAATACATATTTAGACCTTCATATGTGCATAACAGATTGTATTAATATGTATTCAGGAGTATTTGAATACATGTATTTAATATTAAGAGATTATATACAATCCCTGATACAAAAGTTGTTTTGTATTTATATGTATTCAGAAAAAAGAATCAGTTCTAATGAATGAAATATTACATCTTTTTAAAATACAATCATATCGTATGTATATAACAGATTGTATTCATCTATATTCAGATGTATTTGAATACATATATCTAATATTCAGAGATCATATACCAACTATGTATTCAGATTTTATTCATCTGTATTCAGAGATCATGAAATAATATAATAGTCGTATTGTAATTATGTATTCAGATTTAATACACCAACTAAATATATCCAGAATATATTCGCGAAAAAAAGACAACATGTATCACTGGTTGACCGATTTCTGTATATGAATGTATCAATTCTCTATTTTATTTGTTGAACACAGAAGCACACACGAAAAAAAATGGGAAGAAACAGACTATCGGCGAATGCTATGTTTTGATGTATATAACGTTTTAGGAAAAAAGATTACATATTATTCGCGTAAAAAACGATTATCGGTGATGTAATTGGGTTAGTTAAGTTATATTAGGAGTCTATTATGTTAATTTATACACTTTCTGTTAAAAAAAATCTGAATAGAATTGAAATTCGCAGTTTACGTTACGACATACAGTCGAATACAGTCACATACACCCATATACATTCATCTATCCAGCTGTAGCCCCATGTTTCGCGTCGACTTTTGCTACTGTATTCATGAATACAGTAGCTTAAATACATCAAATACATCTTATAACAACAGAAAACATATCTACAATCCGTAATATAGCAAATGGTATCTATAGATAGCTAATTAGCACTAAAAGATAGTGTTTTATGAAAATTTCTCTTTAGCTAAAACCAACCAAATCAAATATGGTCGGGCTTGGGTTCTTTTTCTCGGTTTGACTCGGATTATCGGGTTGGTGCGGTTTGTCGGTTTCATTTGTACACACTACGTGTAACCGTGTTATCTGATGAATACATTAAGGAGTCGTTTAGTTAGGAAACAAGTATTATCGGTTTGACTCGGATTATCGGGTTGGTGCGGTTTGTCGGTTTCATTTGTACACACCTACGTGTAACCGTGTTATCTGATGAATACATTAAGGAGTCGTTTAGTTAGGAAACAAGTATTCCAAAATTAATTATTCCTAAAATTGTTATCGCACTCTCCTATATAGCGATAATAAAATATTACTAGGTATACCACGATTTTATCCAAATCAAACGTGGGATAAATTCATCTCAAATTTTTGATATTAAGATTAATATCCCTTATTCCTCATATCAAACGAGCCCTAAGGGTTTTCACCAAATCAAACAATTTAATCTTAGCAGTTATAAATTAAAGCGAGAGTATTTTAAGTGACAAAAGTATGTGTACAAGCACATATATTTATTAGCTTGGTTAAACACCGGGTGTGGATTTTATATTTCAGACAACATTGCTTGATAGAAAGTAGAAACTACTTTCTTTTCTTTTTTTCCATTTCTTCTGCGTTTATTAATGATGTTGACACAAATTTCACTTCAACGGGTACCGGAAGATAAGATTCACTAGGAATAATTCCCTCACATGAAAACAGTCATGACATACTATTCTTCCCATCTAAAAAGAGCATTGACAATTTCGAGAACCTAAAAAATGTTGGAGTGTAACCTAAGGCTCTCCTCTCTCCTCTTTCTCCGTTTGCAATACTGACTTATCATATATATATATATATGAGCACTGAAAAATATTACTATTCCTTTGTGCTATTTTATATGAAGGCACTTGAAGAGAGAAGCTTAATAGTATATGTTAATTTGACACGTATATGGTGTTATATTAATCACTATTGAAAAACATAAATTTGACTGATAAAGCATTACAGTAAAAAAAAAATGAATAGGTTAATGAATTTGAGGTAGTATTAAAAATTATGGAAGTTGTAAAAAATGTAATGTTATGCAACTATTTTTAGGACATATCGAAATTGAAAGAGTGACATAAGTTAGAAAAGAAGAAGAGGAGTGTGTGTGCGAGTACACATATACAAACTAACCTCTATCCCTGATCCAAAATTTATGGGAATTGAATGCACAAAGCTCTGAAAATTGTACACATTCCTTGAACTTCAACAAATCTATCTAAAAAATAATAATCAGTCAATACAACTTCCAAAATAGTCAGTAGTAGACTATCATGTGAATTCATCCGCAAAATATGCAGCTCAAAACGCTTCAAAAACACTCATAGTCACATTACCAAACAGGGATTAAATAATTAAGTGCATCTAGAGTTGAAACAAGACTGGATTATAAAACACAGAAAATGCCCAAGTCAAACTTGAAGCTGTATTTTTTAGCTTCACATTTTGTTGGCCTCCTACAAGGTCTAGCACCTTCTACACTAATTTATCATTAACAATATCATAAGGACCTATATTAAAGTTCATAGATGAAATGCGAGATGCAAAAAGACCAAAATACCCCTGCACGCAACCATAGGCGGATTTACGCCGGAGGTTTTGTGGGTTCAACTAAACTCATTACTTTCAACTCAAAACTAGTTATACCTTTTCCAAAAATTATAAAAATGTATACTTATATCATATCATATTGTAATTCATTCTGAACTAGCTGACTTTAGATCCAAGATTCGCTTCTACATAAAACAGCTTCATCACCTAGTAGAGGCAATAGAGATATATTCATCCCCCTTAATTAAGGATGAAAATATTAGTTAAAGCTTAAAAAAAGAACACTTGCTGTGCTGAATATCTATAACCATATAGATACCAGCACCATAATTTTGCATCACTTCAACTCTAAGGGATCAAAGCTTAATTGTCCAAAGAAAAAACTTATGGACTCCCCTCATAAGCCAAGGTCTTTTTCACCTAACCTGTTCTTTTTCTTCCTTCTTGTGTCCTCAAATCTCTTAACTTTTTTCATTTCTATCACATTTAAGAACTCTTCTTGTTCTCTATACCAGCAAACATATAAAGCCATTGCCACTGCTTCATTAAACAATGCTATCCCTTTTGTTGTTGAGACAGAAACTAGAGATGATGTTGTTCATGTATCTGATAAACCAGCAGCTGATTTAGACTTACCATCTGAGTTCCTTGCTTTCACATCTCCACATCAACTGCCATTTGGAGTCAACCCGAACTTTAATTCTGACAAACTCATCCCTCCCGTTGGCCGTCCATGTACTATGTTTCCAGATTTACTTCGTCGTTACATGTCATACAAAATCAATGGTTCTTGCCCTGATGATGAGCTCCTGGCACAGAAGCTGCTTCTCAAAGGTAGTGTTCGAAATTAGGAAATTGTTAGAGAAACTTGTTTAAGGACTATTTCGGTGAAATAACGGTTATTACTCACAAATCTTCAACTATTTTTCCGTTTGAAATTCATATCCAGGCACAACTTCACTTTCCAAATACTCTTTTTCAACTTCAACTTCAGTTACTCCCTCAGTTTCAAAAAGATTGGCGCTATTTTCCTTGTTAGTCTGTTTCAAAAAGATTGGCACCTTTCAATATTTCATTAATAAAAGACATTTATAGTAACACAAGTGATATGACAGGTTTCACGCCACAAGTTTCAAAAGTTTTACAGCCACACAAATATTGTAGCTTATTTAAGACCACATATCTCAAAAGTCTTCTCTTCTTTATTAAAGTTTGTGCCAACTCAAACTAAAACAATCTTTTTGAAAGGGAGGGAGTACTTTTTTTTTTTCAATGTCAACCAAATATTGGCCGAACGTTTACCTTTTAAATATAGGAAAGCTTTAGGATCGCTATAATTGTGTAAATAAGAACAGGAATTACTCAATTCATTCCTCAAAATCTCTTCTTTCTATTTTCTTTACAGGTTGTGAGCCGCTCCCTCGCCGTAGATGCCGTCCTGCTGCTCAACATGAATATGTTGAGCCTTACCCTCTTCCTGAGAGTTTATGGACTACACCATCAGATTCATCTGTAGTTTGGACAGCATATACATGCAAAAACTATGAATGTCTAATCAACAGGATAAAAACTCAGAAAGCATTTGATGATTGCAAAGACTGCTTTGATCTCAATGGTAGAGAGAAAAATCGTTGGTCGTCGAAAAAGGGAACTGGCCTTGACTTCACTATTGATGAAGTACTAGCAGTGAAGAAGCCTGGCACAATCAGAATAGGGCTTGACATTGGTGGAGGTGTGGCTACATTTGCTGTAAGAATGAGAGAAAGGAACATAACAATATTAACAACTTCAATGAATCTCAATGGACCTTTCAATACATTTATAGCATCAAGAGGAGTAGTACCTTTGTACATAAGCATTTCGCAACGACTTCCTTTCTTTGATAACACACTGGATATTGTTCACTCAATGCATGTCTTGAGTAATTGGATACCAACAACACTACTGCACTTCTTATTATTCGACATCTATAGGGTGCTTCGGCCTGGTGGGCTGTTCTGGCTTGACCATTTCTTCTGTGTTACTGAGCAATTTGAGCAAGTCTATGCTCCTCTTATTGACAGCATTGGGTTTAATAAGGTTAAGTGGGTCGTTGGGCGAAAGATGGACAGAGGCCCCGAGCTGAATGAGATGTATCTTTCAGCACTGTTGGAGAAGCCACTGAAGAACTCTTGGTGATAGTATTAGATGTTTCTTTTACTTTCTTACTGTGATAGTAACAGAAGAGAAGCAGGAGATGATTGTTTTTTTTTTAAATTATCGATTCGTTTTAGATGACATCTGCAGACATAAACTAACAGTTTGAGGTAGCTTGAGTATGATTTTGCAATGTTTGTGGCCAAACCTGATTTAGCTTTTGAATATGCTGAAAACCAAATTCCATTATTCAGAGTATAAGGTTTTACTGTAAAAAGTATCGAAATCCGTGTGTGAAGCAACAGATAGAAAATGTTTGAAATTAAGATTAATAGGTCATTACAATTGACAAAACCTTTTCCAAGCAATAGTTAAAAAAGGTCCATATGCACAGCATCACCGATAACATTTAACAGAGAAATAATGTTCTGCACGAGATAAGTTATCCTTAATAGATTTTCTGTTTGTTTGAATATATAATTTTTGAGTCTTTTGCGATTCTTCCTAAAGGTACCTTAACATCAATCATTGTTTTCTTTGTATCATCCATACTAAAACTGTGAGAACAGTTTATGGATATATGCTTCATCAAAAGCATCTCTGATAATTCAGAGGACAGCCTTCTGAAGTTCACATGAACTGGAGCTTACAACTAGACCTTTAATGTTTTCTGCAAGTTATGGTGGTTGACTTAGAAGATTGCCTTAATTGAGTCGTGTAAGGAAAAATTCAAATTGTCTTGTATTATTAGCAAGTTATATATCTTGCTGATACTTGTGAAAGTCAATCTGGAATATAGATGAGCTGCTTAAAATTTTTTGCCATATTATAAGCAAGTTATACATCTTGCTGGTGGAAATGTGATACCACCATCCAAATTTCAGATCAAGCGTCACTAAGCAAGTCTTGAAATGAAGGTTGGCTAATCAAATAACAATATCTTTTCTTCTAGTTCTCCCCTGCATAGACAGTGAAATGATCCTTTGGAACATCTCCAGATGTTGAAGACATTTGGAGGAGTCGGTTTGCATGAAGTATACAAGGTGCTCAGATAGCAATAATTTTATAAAATTATGTTTTATCTATGTAGTATTTTGCCAAACGAAGGATAACGTCAAGGCCTTAGAATTTAGAAAATGATAGCTGGGAATTCGTTTGACCTTTACAAAGAGCTGAATTATCAGAAAGCTCCTCTGACTGTGTGTGATACAGTGGCAGAAGCAGGATTTTCACCAAGGGGATTAAAAAAAAAATTAAAAGTACACGTGAAGAAGCAAAGGGGATTCAATATCTAATATATATAAATACATAAAAATTTAACCTTATTACACAGTGTAATTTTAAGGCGACCCACCCCCCAACTCTGCCCTTATGTGTGTGTGTGTGTGTATATGTAGAGAGAGAGTAACGATAAGCCCAGACTGTTGATGAATAGTCTTGAAAGACTAAAATGCCATTTAATGGGCACAACCGAAAGACAATAGCATATGAAATAGCACATGGTTTTGCCTATTAATCATCTAACCATCACTTTCATAGTGTGGCCACATATTTCAACCCATGTGTTTAAAATATTTTTGTTTTGATCAAGTCAAGATCATGTTGATTCAACCTATAAATTTTAACAGGGTGAATATAAGATCATTTTAGAAGACAGTCATGTTGAACCAATGTTAATCTCAATAGAGTGAATATAAGATCTCTTTCGGAGCTTATTTGTGATAATTTTCTTACTGTCCACTCGGTTCATTCTAAATGAATTGGAGTAAATAGAAAAATGTCAGCCAGACTATGGAGTCTAATTAAGCTCATGTTTTGGACAAGTAGAGGAAACATTGCAGTAATGGCAGAATCCTGCCCCAAAGACTGGCTTCTGCCGAAAATGTAGATTTAACTTACAACAACAGAACTTGCTAATGCAAGGTACAAGTACCAAACACTACAAATAATAAGAAGCATAAACTGATACAGTGGGTTTATATCTCATTTGCAAAATCATCACTCAAAGCAGTGAGTAACTATAAGAGATTTTTTCGTTTCATCTTCAACTTGGTTGACAATATATATACAAACCCCAAAGCTACACAGGGTGTAACTATATATAGACGAGGTATTCTCAAGTTGTTTCACTGATCAAGTACAACTTCTGACCATCAGAAATCAAACCTATATCAAGAATTTTACCTGCATCTTCTGATAAAATACAAGAGCCAGATGGAAAGTTGAGTTGTTCAGATGCTGTATTAATGAGCTCTTCCATACTCTTAGGTATCCACAGTACAACACCATGTTTCCTGAGATCCTTGGGCTCCCATGGGTGGAAAGGAAACACAGTACACTTCCGTTGGTGCATTTTTTCTGTTATACACAAAGATTATATGGTTAGCGAGCTTAAAAAAGTTTAGCTAATAGAAAAATGTAGCTAATAAAAGAAGTTATAGCCCCGTTATTCAGCTTTTGGGAGAAGAGTAATAATTGATGACCACAGGTAATAATGAATATTCAGTTAACCCTTGTCTTGTTCCTCTTCAAGTCACTTTTTCATGCTTTTTGGTCTTTGTTTTAGGTGAGTAATAAAGGGGGAGCAAGTGGAGCAAGGGAGTCTCCCAGATCAAATAAGCAGCAGTACCACATAAAGGGTATTATAATAAACTCCTAAACATAAATATTTTCCACTGCATTTGGTGAAAGTGTTGCTTCTGTAATACCTGAGATCTCGTGTGGAGCAATAGGGAATTCTGATATCTGAGCTGATTTTGCTTCTTCCAGAAGCTTGGTCAATTGATTGTTTCCACTTAGTCTAGCTTCATCAAATGGAGTATTTCCCCATCTGCAACATAACAAGTTCCCTTAAAGTTTTAAGCGGCTAACTAGTACATGTATGCACAATTCAGCTAGTACCATGTACTAAAGTTCTGAAAGAGCAACCACGATGATTCACCTCGATTAGCCTTAAAACTTGAAGGAAAAAAACTACACCAAGCTCAGGAGAAAAATTGACTAAGAATCTAATAAACTCGATCTAGAAATAAAACTTCCCCATGTCTCCAGTGATCATGTACAATTCAAGGCATTTTGAGCTTGAACCATGATGGACTTAACAACAAGTTCTCCTAGGTCATCAAAGAGATATTTTTATAACAGGTTTAATCTCAAGAAAATTGTGTTGGGATCCTTCCTCATGTTTGAGAATTCATTCACATTCTTGATTCATCTCTATCTCGTCATGTCGATGAAGGAAAAATACGAAAAGCATTAGTGTAACTTACGAATTCACCGATTAGTGATTAGAAAATCTATCAGTTTTCAAAAGCCTGGAATTGAAGCAGTTAAAATTTAAAAGCATGAATCTCAAATTGATTTGGGCATTACTATGCTATAATTCAAAAAATAGCAAGAGTAAAAGTTCTCAGTTGTCAGGATAATCATATATAAAAAGGCGATTTAAAAAAAAAGAAGAAAAATTGATAGGTTAAAGGATGCAAGATTCAAGAACATAATTATGCGTCAATCCCAACTCCCAAGTTAGTTGGGGTTGGCTATATGAATTCACACTATCCATTTCACTACATTTGGACCCGGATGCAAGATTCAACAATCAACAGGAAAAAATTACTCTCTTGAAGAATTTTCAAATACTGATAGCAACAATATAAAGTAACTTTCATGTTTCCCAACAAGTTAAGCACGTAAGTCTACCTTATGTTTATGACAAAAGGTAACTTGCTCTAAACTAAAGATTCCATACTGATCTTAAGAAGTGACTTCAATAATGTAGCAATAAAGATTTAACTGGTACCTGTCTTTCGAGAAAACAGAAGCACCAGCTCCCAGAAGCAATCTCGCCATCGCGAATAATCCTTGAGAAGCCGCTACATGGAGTGGTGTTCGGTGATCATAGTCTTTGGAGTCTGGATCAATACCATTGGACAACAGCCTTCGTAGTAGATCCGTATCCCCTTTTGCAACCAACATACACAAAAAGCTACCAGCATTTTGGATCTTCAAGAAAGCACCTTCCTTAACAAGTAATGAAGCAACACGATCGTGTCCATTCTTGATAGCTTCAAACAGCGGTGTGGTATCAAAGTTGTCTATTTGGAGAAGAGCATGAGTTACAATTATATTTGAGGAGAAGGAAGTTCACAGGTGAAGTACAGTTTGTAAAACTTACCTGAAGCATTGAGATCGACACCTTCTTGGATAAGGAAAAGAGAGATGTCTTCATATCCTCTGGACGCTGCAAGATGCTGTTCATAACAAAACCTTGATTAGGAATATTTTTTCACTCTATCTTCAGCCTTATTTTAGACTCATTTGGTTTGCTTATTTTTCCTAAAGACAGAATCAGTATTTTGATAACAAGCACCTGAAACTTAATAACCCATATTCCTTAAAGGAGAATCCTTCCAAATCGTGCTCTATGATTTACAAATTTGCACACCCAAGAAAGAAATTCATGAGCTTGGAAACAAAACTGATTATGAAGAAAAAGAAAATCCCACTCATGAACTGACAATAGCAACTCATGACAAACTTTTTGTAAAATAAACAACTCGTCAGAAAATTGAGAAGAAGTAATGGAACAGAAATAATATATGTTTCCATTGGCGAAACCCATACCAAAGGAGATCTTCCATCATAATCTTTCTTGTTGGGATCAGCTCCAGCTCGGATCAGACCCTTCAGCTGGTGCAAATCACCATGATAAGCTGCATTATTCACTTTCAAAGCAAGCTCAGCCTCTTGTTTCCCAATATGGAATGTAATATCTGACTCCACTTGCTTCACACGAAGATCAGAATCCTTTCCCTGTCAGTTAAGACTGTTTTTAGGCCTTTTGAGTCCATAAGCATTTCTAATGCAAAAGCAGTTAATGCCCAAAAGGAGAAATACAATTAGTAAGGGTCGAGAACGACATGCTACCCAAGACGGATTACCTCTAATAAGTTGGTCAAAATTTTTCTCCCGTCATGAAAATAGATCTCCAAAATATTTGAAAACGATTGCTTATCAATCCGTATGAGTCTGCATAGTTCACAAACACGGACAGTATATGGTTGTGGAATGTTGCAAAGAATGGATATTTCCCCAAACGAGCTATTTGGCTCAAGAAGTGCTACTCTCTCTTCTGACCCATCATTCCCTATACCAATTTCCTCCTGGACCAAGATAACCACAATAAGTCTCAAACTATTAGCTGCAAC